GAGGCCAGTATGGCCAAACTTCATCTCTCATACTTCATACATATTGTTAGAAGGGACTAGTAGCTGGAGAAGGATATCATATTTGGTAAGGTGGAAAGTCAGAGAAAAAGAGGAAGACCCCCAGCGAGATGAATTGGCAAAATGGCAGCATTAATGGACTCAAGCGTGGCAAAAATTGTGAGGTTGGCCCAGGACTGGGCAGTGTTTCCATTTTGTTGTGCATAGGGTCGCTATGAGTTGGTACCGACTCGATGGCATGTGACTGTAACAACAACAACAACAACAACAACAACAGTGTTCCCATGTTCTGTTTGAACAACTGCCTCTTGGTCTATGTACAGATTCCTCATGAGCATAATTAAATGTTCCGGAATACTCATACTTCGCAATGTTGTCCATAGCTTGTCATGATCCACACAATCGAAGGCCTTTGCGTAGTCAATAAAACACAGGTAAACATCTTTCTGATATTCTCTGCTTTCAGCCAAGATCCATCGTACATCAGCAATGGATATCCCTCATTCCACGCTTTCTTCTGAATCCGGCTTGAACCTTTGGAAGTTCTCTGTCATGTATGGTTGTAATTGGTACTGTACTACCTTTAGTAAAATTTTACTCGCATGGGATATCAAAGATATTGTGAGATGTTTTCCGCATTCCATTGGGTCACCTCTCTTTGGGATGGACACAATGGGATCTCTTCCAATCAGTCAGCCAGATAGTTGTCTTCCAAATTTCCTGGCAGAGATGAGTGAGTGCCTTCAGTGTCACCTCACTTTGCTGAAAGATTTCAATTTTTATTCCATCAATTCTTGGTGCCTTGTTCTTTGCCAATTCCTTCAATGCACATTGAACTTCTTCCTTCAGTATCATTGGCTCTTAATCATATGCTACCTCTTGAAACGGTTGAACATTGACCATTTCCTTGAGGTACAGTGACTCTTTTGATGCTTTCTGCATCATTCAATAATTTGGCCAGAGAATCCTTCAATAACAAAAGCTGAGGTTTGAATTTTTTCTTCAGTTCCCCCAGTTTGAGAAATGCTGAGCGTGTTCTTCCCTTTTGGTTTTCTAACTCCAGATCTTTGCACATTTTGTTTTTAATATATGACTTTGTCTTCTCAAGCTGCCTTTTGAAGTGTTCTGTTCAGCTCTTATACCTTCTCATTTCATCCATTTGCTTTAGCATCTCCAATCTGTAGAGCAAGTTTCAGAGTCTCTTCTGACATCCATTTTGATCTTTTTCTTCTTTCTTGTCATCTTAATGACGTTTTGCTTTCTTTCTATATGATGTTCTCAACTCTTCTGGTCTTTGGTCCTTAGTGTTTAATGTATCAAATCTGTTCAGATGATCTCTAAATTCAGGTGGGATATATCCAAGGTCATGTTTTGGCTGTCGTGGACTTGTTTTCATTTTCTTCAGCTTCAGTTTGAATTTGTATATGAGTAATTGGTGGTGTGTTCCACAGTCTTCCCCTGGCCTTGTTTTGGCTGATGATATGGAGCTTTTCCATCGTCTCTTTCCACAGATGTACTCAATTTGATTTCTGTGTATTCCATCTGGTGAGGTCCATGTGTAAAATCATCTCTTATGCTGTTTAGAAAAGGTATTTGCTCACTAATGCCTACGATATCGATGTTTATGCATTCCATTTCATTTTTGACAATTTCCACTTTTCCTACATTCATTTTCCGATTATTAATGTATATTTACAGCTTTTTTTTTTTTTTTTTTTTGAGTTGTGCCCGATCAGCACATGAAGGTACTGAGGTCTGTACTCCCACGGGCTTTACCCCGTTTGCATCATCGTGGTCAAGTCTACTTTGAGGAGGCAGCTCTTCCCCAGTCATAATATTGCATGCCTTTATTCCTGAAGGGCTCATCTTCCAGCAGCACGCTATCTGAAAATATTCTGGTGCTCTTCATCATGTTTCAATATTCAATATTTTGGTGCTGACAGTGTTCCACTGCTATTCGTAAGGTTGTCAGTAACTAAATATTCAGAAGTAGTTCGTCTCTTCCTCTTCCTAGTCTGTCTTCCTCCAGAAGCTCAGCTGAAACCTGTCCACTGTGGTTGACCTTGCTGGTGTTTAAAATACCGATGGTATAGCTTCCAGAATCACAGCAACTCACAAGCCACCATAGAATGACAAACCGACAGGAGTAGATATAGATATACAGATATAGACTCTTGTGTGGCGCTGGAAGATCGGCACTGGATTGTGAACCATAAGGTCGGCAGTTCAAACCCACCAGCTGATCCTCGGAAACCCCATTCAGAGTTGCTGTGATTTGAAACCAACTCGACAGCACTTAACAACAACAATAACATATATATACATACATGGAGTTCTATTGTGGCATTGCAGGATAATGCAGTGGACTACAAAGTTAGCGGGTCAAACCCACCACCTGTTCCTCAGGAACCCTAATCAGGGTTGCTATGAGTTGGAACCTACTCAACAGCGCTTAACAACAACATGTATATTTATACGTGTGTGTGTGTGTGTGTGTGTGTATATATATATATATATAAGCGTGGTGGCTCTGTAGGATAAGCATGGGACTGTGATCCACAAGGTTGACAGTTCAAACCCCTTAGCTGCTCTTTGGGAGAAAGATGAGGCTTTCTGCTCTTGCCAAGATTTATAGCCATAGGACCCTTAGGCAGGGTCACTATGAGTCAAACTGACTGGATGATACTTAGCAACAACATATATTTTGGTTTGAGGAGTTGACTGATAAGACAGTCAGCATTGACAAGTCTAAAATTGGTAGGTCAGGCCAAAAGCATACCAAACCTACCGCCACTGATTTGGACTCACGGTGACCCTGTATGGAGATTTCCAAGACTGAACATCTTTACAGGAGCAGACCACCTTATATTTCTCCTGAGGAGCAGCTGGTGGATTTGAACCAGCAACCTTGCATTAGTAGCCCAGTGCCTCACCCAGAACACTACCAGGGCTCCTTGTAAGTCAGGCAGCATTTGCAAACTCCATCAGTCTTGTGTCCCCAAATCAAGGGACCAGGCAGTCAGGAAAAGAGGAAGTGTGGCAAGCTGTCTGTCCACTGAAGGCAGAATCCTCCCCCAGGAAACCTTCCCTTTTCCTTTGTGGCCTTGAACTGATTGGATCAGGCCCACCCAAGAGTGTGTCTGCTAATCACACCTAAGTGCTTTACAACAAACTGTAGCCTAGAGTTTGACCAAACAGCATGTGTGTGGGCAGTGCCCAGAGCCGGGACAGGTTGACACACACCCTCACTATCCCCAGGTGATAAATGTGGTCACTGGAGCCGGCTGGACCGGCCCATGACTAACGTGTGTGACTAACGTGCTTGCCCCCGGCCTTCATAGTTGCTGGATGGAGACGTGCCTGAGGCTGTGCAGCTGAATCGGTCGTGCCTGGCGGGCCCATGGTTGGGGACCGCGGGAAGCAGAGCAGTGCAGCCCGCCACCATGATGAAGCTGCTGGTGGCCAAGATCCTCTGCATGGTGGGGGTGTTCTTCTTCATGCTGCTCGGCTCCCTGCTCCCCGTGAAGCTCATCGAGACGGACTTTGAGAAGGCCCACCGCTCCAAAAAGACCCTGGCCCTCTGCAACTCCTTCGGTGGGGGCGTCTTCCTGGCCACGTGCTTCAACGCCTTGCTGCCCGCCGTGAGGGAAAAGGTGAGGACCCTCGGGCACTGGGGTAGCGCTGATCCTGAGCTCCTGGAAGCCTTTGTGCATGCTGGGGGTGTTGTCTGGTGCTGTAGAGTCAGTTGTCACTCGTAGTGAGCCGTGTACCACCGAACACGACACTACCCGGGCCTGCGCCATCCTCACAATTGTTGCTTGAGCCCAGGACAGCAGCCACTGATCAGTCTGAATGACTGAGGGTCTTGGTCTTTTCCCTGATCTACTGACAAGCATGGTGCTCTCCCAGGGACTGGTTCCTCCTAATAACATATCCAAATGACATGAGATGAAGTCTCTCCATCCTGGCTTCTAAGGCGCATTCTGGCTGCGCTGCTTCCAAAGCAGATTTGTTTCTTCCTCGGGTCGTCCGTCAGTACTTTCAATATTATTTTCCAACACCATAATTCAGAGGCATCGATTCTTCTCTGGTCTTCCTTATTCACTGTCCAGCTTTCACATGCATATGAGGTGATTAGAAATACCATGGCTTGGGTCAGGTACACCTGAGTCCTCAAAGTGACATCTTTGCTCTCATGCACTTTGACGTGGTCTTGTGCAGCAGAGTCACCCAATGCAATCTGTCATTTCGTTTCCTGACTGCTGCTTCCATGAGCTGCAGCCACAGCACGCAAGGTGAGGGAAAGCGGAAAGCGATTTGCTATGACTGGAGTTGCTTGCCTCCCCTGTCAGAGTCTTACCTGGAGTCAGAACCTCCTGAAACAGCTGTAACCGGAGCGCCACATGGGAGCCTCCATATGATGGATTCTCTCAACTGGGGAGGCTGCAAGTCCGAAGCCAGGACACTGGCTCTCGGGGAAGCCTTTCTAGCTGTCGGCTCTGGGGGAAGGGCCTGGTCTTTGCCAGCATTTGCTTCCCGTTTCTTTGGTGATCCCCATGCCTCATCTGTGCTTACTGGTCTCTGTGCCCAATCTTTTCGTTCTCAAGGGTGGTAGGTTTAAGACATGCCCTATACCAGCGTGGTCTCACTCACGTAACGAAGCCCTGTTCCCAGATGGGGTCACATTTACAGCAGATACTTTGTGTGGACACAGTTCTGCCCGTGACACCGAGTAGACAGGGGTTCAGATTAGACTTAGGGTTCCCAGCATTGAGCTCATCAGTTGTTGCCTGATAAACATCCAGACCGGACACCACTGACCACCCGCCCCACATCCTGCCCTCTGAGGCTGTATACGAGGGGGCTTCAAACAGTTCATGGCAGAATGAGACAATCATGGAACTTTTCCACCCACTTTTTTTATAAGTTTTTATTGTGAATTGAGTGATTGTTTACATGGGAGAACAACATTGGTTTTACATTCGTTTCATTGCAATGATTAGAGTCTCCTACATGCATCATTATTCAACAGTATTTGCTTCTATTCCCTGTTTTTTTTTTTGGGGGGGGGGAGGGGATGTACTCAAAAAAAACATTTAAGAATATATAATAATTTAAAACAACCAAAGAGCACATTTTGCAAGTCTGCCTTCTGGCCATCAACACTCAGTCCTTCTCTTCCCATGAGTCTAGAGTCCTCAGCTGCTCCCTCTCTCCATGTCTCCATCTCTGCCTCCATCTCTGCTTCTCTGGAGAGGGTCCCACATTCTGCTCCTGCTCTACTCCCTCGCAGGTTCTAGGGTCCTCTGTTCTTGGAATGTAAGATTAACTACTCCCCCATTTATTTTTTTAGTTTTTTATTAAATGTTCCACCCACTTTTTGAAGCTCCCTAAGCCACTTTGTTCCTGGTTAGCTGGTGGGCGTGGTCTGTCTTCAGCGCCTGAATGAGTCAGCTGTCGCTGCCTGACTAACGTGCTAGAGTGAGGCCCTAACGGCACTGCACACTTGTTCTCTTAGCATTGCTGTCTTCTTGTCTTCTTATGTAAGTCCCCAAACCCCTCCCCAGCCCCTGACCACCACTCACCCTCTTCTTGCCTCTGGACTTGCCTGTCCTGGACACCCCACTTGGGGGCGCAGACACTGGGTCCTTGTGTGTCCAGCTTCCCTTGCTGAGCGTGAGATGGTCGTGCCTCATGTTTCTGTGGGACAGAATCACCCGAAATGTCAGCGGTGCCCTTTATCTGGAAAAACTTGCGTTTGGTCCCTACCTCACCCCGTCCACCAGAATAAACTCGTTAGGTCAGAGAGTGTCAACCAGGGAGACCCTCTAGCTCCTGGGATTCCCTTCCCATCTCCGCTCAATGTGGATTTCAACGTGGACAGAATGTCATGGGGTCAGTGGAAGTCTCTAATATCGGAGTTCTCATTTCGGGGCATTTCTGGACAATGTTTGGGGACATTCTTGTTGACGACACTGGGTGGGGGAGGTTACTGGCATTGAGTGGGTGGTGCCCAGGACGGCCTTCCACCCTAGAGAAGAGTTGGGTTGTGTACCCACAGTGCCGTGGGGGAGCCTGTGTTGTAGTCCATTTTGTCAGACTTGGTGAAGTGAGTTAGTTCCACATCGCCATTCATCAGCTATGTTATGGGGCTTCACAGGGACACGCAGATGTGACTCCTGCTCTCAAGGCACTCAGTCCAGTGGGAGATGGGGCACTGTGGAGGACGTGACATGCGGGTCTGGGGAGGTGGCCGCTGAGCTGAGACATGGATCAGAGGCAGGGTCCCCAGGGTGAGAGAGAGAGAGGTTGGACAGGCCTGGCGTCCACCCACCTTTCCCCAGGGCAGACAGGGTCGGGACTTGTTACCATAGAGTTGATGAAGCCTCCTGACGACTCCTGTGTGTCCGAGCGGCACGAGGCTCTAAGGTTTTCAGTCATCTTACAGAAGCAGATCTCCAGGTCTTTCTTCCACAGCATCATAGTGTGGATTCGAACTCACTCTGGTGAGCAGCCAAGTACAAACCATTTTGCCACGCAGGGACACGCTGGAACTGTGGTGACATTAGAAGCAGAGGAGCAATGTTTTCAGGAACTCGCTCTGGGTGCTGTTTAGAGAATGGGCCACGAGGGAGAACTTAGAAAAGTTCTGCAAGCGATTGGTGGTGGAGTTGGCTCCTTCCACATGGGAGCCGCAGGTTTGATCCCAGCGTCTGCCCTTTGTGTGTGGTTGTCTTCACTTCCCTCACAAAGATGTCCAACATCAAGGATTCTTCACGCACTGATTCCAAACAAGGTCATGAGGTTCCTGGGGGACATGGGTTTTTGAGACCACAGTTCAACCAGTGCAGTACTCTAAGCTGTTTGGGACGATGTGGGCACTGTGACCGGAGACCTTGAGATTTCCTTGTCAAATTGACTTTGTTGTCATCCATCAAATCTCTCAGGGGAACCAGCTACTTCTCTCTTTCTCTGTTTTTGTCGCGGTGAAAATACATACAGCAAAATTTTCACCAGTTTCAGTTTCTACATTGACAGCACTCAGCCTTCTCATCCTCCCATTCCGCATCGTTACACCACGTGGACACCACTCATCACCTCTGGGGGCCACTCGTGTGCTGATCTCCTGGAATTGAGGTCAAACAGTGCTTCTCCCTTTGTGACTGACCGTCTGATGTTCTCAAGTCTCGTCTCTGACGGTGGTACACATCAGGACTTCATTGCTCTTTGTGGCTGAGTCGTTGATCCGTCTGTGATGGACACTGGGAAGTTTCCACCTTTTAACTCCCGTGAACAGCGCTGCTACTCACATTGGGCTCCAGGGCATGTGAACTGAGTACCTGAGTAGTAGCTCATTGTGTGGATGTGTACAGGTGATCCAGGTACACCTGAGTACGGATGGATGTTTGGTAAGGATGTGTGTGTGTGTGTGTGTGTGTGTGTGTGTGTGTGTGTGAGCAACATACTTCTGAGTAATAGTCCATGGCATGGATGTTTGAGCGAGCATCAGATATTTCCAAGTAATACTCTGTAGTATAGATGTATATGTGTGTGTGTGTGTGAACCGACTATTTGGGAGTAATAATACGCTTTATCGATGTGTGTGCAACCTTGGTAATTCTGAGTACTATTCCGTGGTATGGACCCGTGGATGAATGTGCATGTGACCTGGGTATTTATGAATGAACTGAGTATGTCTGAGTAATGATAGGCTGTGATGTAGATGCGTGCGCGTGAACTGCTATGTGTGAGTGATGATAGACCGTGGTATAGATGCGTGCGCGTGAACCGGGTACTCTGAGCTGTGCTCAATCAGTTTGACAAACCCGGTTGTGTTTGCTGTTGTCTCTGAACCTCCCTCGCACGTGTCGTCCACCCCAGCTCCAGAAGGTCCTGAGCCTCGGCCACATCAGCACCGACTACCCACTGACTGAGACCATCATGATGCTGGGCTTCTTCATGACAGTCTTCCTGGAGCAGCTCATCCTGACGTTCCGCAAGGAGAAGCCGTCCTTCATTGACCTGGAGACCTTCAACGCCGGCTCAGACGCGGGCAGCGACTCTGAATACGAGAGCCCCTTCATGGGCAGCGGGCGTGGGCACGCGCTCTACGCAGAGCCCACCCCGCACGCCCACAGCCACGGCCTGAGCGTCCAGGAGCTGTCGCGCTCCAGCCCATTGCGCCTGCTTAGCTTGGTCTTCGCGCTCTCAGCCCACTCCATCTTTGAGGGGCTGGCGCTGGGCCTGCAAGAGGAGGGCGAGAAAGTGGTCAGCCTCTTCGTGGGCGTGGCCATCCATGAAACGCTGGTGGCCGTGGCCTTGGGCATCAGCATGGCCCGGAGCGCCATGCCGCTGCGGGATGCGGCCAAGTTGGCCGTCACAGTGAGCGCCATGATCCCACTGGGTATCGGCGTCGGCCTGGGCATCGAGAGCGCCCAAGGCATGGCCAGCAGTATAGCCTCGGTGCTGCTGCAAGGCCTGGCGGGCGGCACCTTCCTCTTCGTCACCTTCTTGGAGATCCTGGCTAAGGAGCTCGAGGAGAAGAGTGACCGGCTCCTCAAGGTGCTCTTTCTGGTGTTGGGCTACGCCGTCCTGGCCGCCATGGTCCTCCTCAAGTGGTGAGTGTCCTTGGCCGCCACCGCCCACCTGGCCCCCTGCACCAGGGGCCTCCCCAGACCCCGCACCCAGAGCCTCAAGGCACAGCTACTATGTTAAAAAATACTTCTCTCAAAAGTGTCGGCCAGTCCTGTGTGACCACGTCCACCCGGTGAGGGACACTGGGGGGGAGGGGGGACAAGGCAAGAGTGAAAGCAAGCCCTGGGGGCTGCCCAACCCGCATGCCCGTCTTCAAGGACCCGAGTTGGAGCAGCACTGCCGAAGCTCGACCTAGGGGAACCCCGGTCTTCTTCCGGCTCCGCTGCTGACCACTTACCCACCGTGGACCTCGTCATGCTTGCACAACATTGGGGTCTTGGGGCGACCTTCTGCCACATTTCCTTTGACTGCCGTGGGACCGCTGAGGGGCCTTGGGGTTTCTAGAAGGAGCCCTCGCCCTCAGGTCCCGGCTGCAAGACCATAGGCCAGCCTGCTACCTCCTGTCCTCTGAGGCTATATTTGCAGTGTGGGGAGTACCGAGGACTCGCCTCACGTAGCTCCTGGTGCCCCTGTGGAGACCCTGTCCCTTGTGGTGTGGTCTCTGGGACAGGGAAGCTGTTCTTCACGTGGGGCATGGCAGAGGCCTGTGGAGGCCCCGGGCCCTGAAGGACACCCCAGGCCAGATTCTCCAGAGGCGGGGGCCCTGCCATGTGATTCCCGCAGCATCTGCAAACCAGGGCAAACCTCAGACGCCTTCAGAGGTTCGAGGCCACAGGAGACCCCGTGGAGTGCCAGACTGGGGCCCCACTCTAAGCAACTGTCGCCTCGGTAACTGCTGTCGTTTGGAGAGCTGTCTTTGCTCAGGGGATCCCTCACCACCTTCAAACTGGAGCAGGAAGGGAGTGGGCAGCTGGTGTGGGCCAGTGTGCCTACAGCCTGTTCACTGCCTCGTCCCACCCCAAGTCCCCTTCTCAGGGCCTCAGTTTCCCTAACCCTGTCTGTCATGAGCTTCCGGGCCTGCTGTTAACGTACGGCACCTGTTTCACCAACTGCTCACTCGCCTTGTTGTGGGGAAGGACCCTGGGTTTCCTCTTCTGGTGTCCTGGGTGCCTTCCTGGTCTCCAAGGCCTCCCACTGCACCCTCCTGCCCTGCCCTCAACAGCGAGACCAAGCAGAGCGGGGTCCCCTACACTTCTCAAGAGCAGACTGCATCCAACCCAACCTCTGGCTGTGTTAGGAGCCCAGACCAGACGTGACTCGCAACATGGTGGGTCACCAAGCCGTTCTTCCCCCTCTGGGTGGACCCGAACCTCCAGCCTTCCCTTTAATAGCCAAGCACACGAACCATCCACACCACCAGGGACTGACTCCTTGGTGGCTTCTGTTGCCGTGGACTCGGTTCTGACTCCCAGGGACTCTTTAGGACCGAGAACAGCCCCACAGGGTTTCCGAGGCTGTCAATCTCCCCTGAAGCAGCCAGCCTCATCTTTCTCCTGTGGAGCAGCGTGTGGGTTTGAACTGCTGACCTTATGGTTAGCATCTGAGTGCTTTCAGCACTGTAGCACCAGGGCTTTCTTTGGGGGGGGGGGGGTTCAGGATCAGCTAATTACTTCTCCACAGCCCTGCCGTCTCAGTTCCCATCAGACACAGGGGAAATGGCCTTGAGGCCCCATCCCCTCTTTACCCTTGCTTGTGAGAGATCGGGGGATGGGGAGAGAGGGGTCCACACCAGCCTCCCGTCCCTGGCTGCTGCTGCTCTAAATAAGCCTGAGTCCTGTGGGCCCCCGGAGCCCTACTGCAGACCCCCATGTGTTAGCCTTGCACTGCAACCAGGCCCCTACTTCCAGAAACTGTCATCTTGAATTTCTTTCAGAGAACCTACCTCTGAACGTGTGCCGGGGTAGGACCCAGTGGGTGTGGGTGTGTCCCCGTCACTGTGTTCTAAATGGTGCTTGTGTCTGTGCCCCTGCGGCCTCTACTCCAGAAGGTTCCCCAGCCTGACCTTTGTCCTGACAGCTGGTGGGCCCGTGTGGGTGTGGGGCTGCTGAGGGACAAGGCCTTCAGCCTGCTCTGAGCTACAAGGGGGAGCGGGGAAACACCCCGACCCAACCAGACTCTCACATGGGGCCAAAAGCATGGCGTCAGGGCCCAGATGACTTCCAAGGATTTCAAGTTCCGTGCAGCGGGGTCCCTGCCCCCTGTTCCTCCTGATAGATGCTGGTACCCCATCTCCCCTGTTAGGGCCAGCTGGGGCAACCCCACCCTTCCCCAAACTGACTTCCCTATCTGTAGCCGGGGTGCCCAAGCCCCCACTCCACCTAGACTAGCAGACCCTTGGTCCTTTAGCTCTGCTGTCTGGGCCTCTCAGACACTCCAGTGTGTTAGCCACTGCTTGCCCAGCCCAGGGTCTGCCAAGCCTTGGGCTTCCCTTCTCCCTGGGGCTCCCCACCCCAGAACTCAGGCTGGGCAAGGTTTGGGAGGGGAGAGGGCCTGCCTCCCCTACACCTTTGCCTACTCTCCATGCTCTATCTGCCAAGGCCCTAAACCCCACCTTCAGAGCACCTGGGGATGGGACTCCCACCACTGGGTAGTGCTCCCCACTCTGGCTGAGGAGATTGGGGGTACCTCCATGGTGGCATGGAATGAAGTGGAATCACTGTGAACCTCCAGAGAAGCTGACTATACCTCCAAAGCCTGGGCCTGCCGACCCAGACGCCAGCGCCACCCACCACTGGGCAGACAGGAGAGTGGAAATTTCTGTCCTTGGTTGCTGTGGGTACCGCGTCCCTCTTTCCAGGGTCGCTCTCTGACTTGGTGGTCCGCACCTGGGTGCCTCCGCCCTCCCCCTCCCCCCAGGATATTGTGTGGTGTGACTGCTGAGGTGCTGCTCAGTGTCCTCAATACAGGATGACCCCAGAAGGACCTGTCCTGTGTCAGCAGTGCCCAGGGGGAGGGACCGTGCTCATTCATTATTCCTGCTCACCCACCCACCAGAATAAACTCCCGCTGGCTTAGCTCCTGTCATCCTGGGCCCCTCCCGCTGCTGAGATTTCCCTCCTGTCACCTCCCCACGCAGTGTGTGGATTTCAATGTGGGCAGCGTCCTAGGACATCGGGGAACAGAGGACGATGGGACACAGAGTCTCTAGGGGGTCAGTTGTTAAGTGCTGTAGCATCTGTTCTGACCCATAGTGACCCTGTATAAGGTTTCCAAGGAGTGGTTAGTGAGTGAACCACCAATCTTGCGGTTCAAACCGACTTTGCAGTCTAGTGTATTAACCCACAGGGCCACACCAGAACTTCCTAGGGGGTCAGTTGAATCTCCTAATCCAGGGGTCCTCACTGGGGATGATTCTGCCCCCAGGGGACACTGGGTGATGTCTTGGGACATTTGTGGTTGTCATGGCTGAGGTGATGCTGTTACTGACATCAAGTAGGTGGAGACCAGGGATGCTGCTCAACACCCCACGATGCACCGTGCACTCACTGCACCCCAGGGAAGGATCTGCCCCCATGTCAGCAGTGTGTGGGGGAGAGGGGCGGAGGTAGACACAGTCTGAGTAGAGCACCCTGTTTCCCTCTGAGATTCTGTGCTCCAGACAGACACACAGACTCCCAACACATGGACCAGACCGTTGAATGCATTCCAACAACTAGACAAGTGTCACTTGGAGATGTCTGTTCCCAGATGGCACGAACACAGCTGACGGAAACAGCAGAGCTCCGCGCACCAAAGGCCCAGGACACCACCACCCTTGTCCCTGCATGCTGGACTGGGGGCAGGGCCACACTGGACCTGGCTCTGCTTTTGTGCCTGGCTGGACAGTGCCTCAGTGGTCACATGGGTGATGCCAGGGCTGCGGGCCCACCTGGGAGTGGGTTCCCAGCACTGATTGGCAGCCCAGCCACCCTGTTTGGGGGTGCATGTGCAGCCTCTTGCCTCCCCGCCCGGATCTGGAGACAAGGGAGGTGAGAACTATGGGGCTGCTCCGAGCTTTCTGTGTAGAATCAGCGTAATAACAGCGTGTCGCCTCTGTTGTCTCTTGTTTGTGTTTCTGGGGAGACGTTATTAACCGTGGGGCGGGACTGGGACATAGGCGCCTGGGTCCTCCAGTGCCTCATGGGCCCAAGAACCCAGCGATGGGACACTGGTGCCCTGACGGCCTGCCGACCACAGCTTCAACGCTCTGGGATACAAGCCCACCTGCCCTAGCCACCCCATCCACCAGCCCAGGGCAGTGCCGGTGGCCACCTGATGTTCACTAGAACATCCATGGCCATCCCGTCTGTCTGCAGTGAAGAGGAGGAGGACAGATGGGGAGTCTCCCCTGTGAGTGAGGGCTGCTGCAGCAAGGTGGAGGTGGGATTGCGAAGCTCTCCCAGAGGTCTCCAGAGAACACTTCGAGTAGTGAGGTTGGACTAAAGCAGGAAGACACCCCCAACAGGCAGTTCCCTTTGTCCCCTCCCCAGCCTGGCAGCCCTGGGGGAAAGCGTTGGATGAACCGCTGGCCGGGCACTGGACCACGGTGTTCTAGCTTAGGGCCAGAATGGTGGCTGTGCACCCAATCTGCAATGGGTGGGAGGGAACAGGGTTACCAGTACCCACAACTCAACCTCCAGGTATACGGTGGGGTGCAAGTGAGGGCCTGCCCGTGGAACGACGGCCATGCCATCTGACAGCAGTCACAGGGTAGTTCTTAGACTCCATCTCAGCTAGCTCAGGTCCAAGGTGGATGGAGAGCAGATGAGGAATCCTCCAACGCACTGCGGACACGCGGACAAGGTCCTTCACTGGGTTGGGGGATGTCGTGTGTATCTCTGGCCGCCACTCACTCAATTCCAGTAGCAACTATTCCAATCTTAACCACCACAAGTATCCCCAGACATCTTCAGTGTCCCCTGGTGGGCACAACTGCCCACAACCCTAGACTCTAGGACAGCTGACATTCTAGTGAGGGAGACAAATCAACACATACATGTGTCAGCATAGAACAGAGAGCCAGGTAGCCATCAACACCTTGAAGGAGAAACAATG